AGAAAACTAAGATAATATATCTGAACCAAAGTCATGTCATTTGATCTCATTCTTTGTCACTCATTGATTTAATTTTTTGAGATAAAACCCAAATGCGAGCATTATGACAAGTCATTATCAGGATTAGTATTTTTTTTATTTATTTTTATTGTGAATCTTTTATCACTCTGGTTTTAGAGTCATAAGATTCTCAATGGAATTGAATGTTTGTATTTGAACCAAACTTTAAATGTGTAGTTACAGATGATCAACTTTATGTACACTCTCGGTCATGTAAGGTTACCTCAACATAGGAATTGTAATTGCTAATTGCTCACCTCTTTTAATGAAGGAATGAGTAGGATGGATAATGGGCCAGATGATGATGCTGCGAAAATTCTGGCATTGTCTCCTTCATCTCTTGCTTGGCGTGATCTTGGAAATTCTTTTTGCTCATCAAAGCAATCAAGAGAGGGTCTGAAAAATTTAGTTCATTTTTTGAGTAAGAATAGAGGAATTTCCGGTTAAAACTGGTAAGATCACCTTGACTATCATTTCTGGAGTAAAAACCTAGAGGCAAGTTTGATGAAGACAGAAGGGCCCCAAAATCTATCAGAAAGGCAAACGTAACATGTACCTTGAAGAATCAGAACTATTTGTTGATTGCTTTGATTTTTGATGTTCTTGGGTATCATTATTCACCTTGCCTTGTCTCAAAAGAAGCATATGTGCTACTAGACTGAATGGCAAGTTGAAACATTATCAAGAAAACACCAAGCACAGCACAAGAAGACAAAGTTGATCTACAGATCTACTTATTATTTTAATCTATCTCAATCAGAACGTAACCCTACCAATGTACTTTGATCACTGAATAGAAAGGATGACTGAACTCTTGGAGATTGTACAACAACGGCTCCCGTCCCGCTCATTGAGAGTTCTTCCTGCAATTCAAGTACTTGAGACTAGCTTAGAAGGAAACTCATAAAAGAGGTTCATGTAATTCAAAAAAAAAAAAAATCAGGTGCTTGAAATAGTGGTTAACTAAGTTCATTGTAGTTTGTGCTAAAGGCATTCTATCAAACATTATTTTAGCTCAGTCAAATTGCAAAATCTGTTCTAGAGAATTCAGAACATGAAATTGTTAACCTAGTCACCACCAGTAGGGTAAATAGTAGAATGTGATAGCTTTTTTTTATTTCCATCATAGGAGTACATGATATCAAATATTTTTTTGCAACAAGTCAATGGGTTATACTAAATTCAGGCAAAGCCAAAGACAAGTTTTAGACCCAATCTTGATCACAAGATATTGATTGCACAAGGCAACCGTCATGCTACTTTATTTTTTTTTTCTCTCTTTTTACCATGGTGGGGAATCAGGTAAGAAGTACATCAGCTTATTCTAACAGGCCTAACACTTTTTTTTTTCCCACCTAGAGGCTAAAAACTACATTTTCTTAGACAAGGAGGGAGTAGCTGAAGTTATAATAGTCTCTCTGATATTTGGCCTTTAAGAATTTAGTTCCCAAGTACAACAGGAGGTTGCATCCAAGATATGTGTGGTGACACAAGTGAGCAATACACAGACACACATGGACAGAGAGAGTTTGACGTCTTCATGGTAGTTATCTTGTTTTTCGACATTGTATGGCTCTTTATCATTTTTTCCCAAAGAAATTTCTGATGAATCATAAGGCGTGCTTTCAGAAGACGACCACAGGTTACCATTATCTATGTTTTTTCTTGAGGTGGCTTGACTTAATAGAACCTCTGGCTTCCTTTCTTTAATCTAAGGTGATCTTACCACACTCTGGGCTGTTCTAGTACTAATTGCTCCACTAATACTGAAGTCCCACTCAGCATTTTGCAGGGTTTTTTCCTGACTATTGTGAATAAGAATTAGTAAACTAACATTCATCAACACATCCAAGGATCAAAATATCGTTTCGGTGTATTATTTTGGTTACTTAGAAAACAGAAACGTGTCGACATTTTTCGAAAAGTTTCAACATGTTTCAGAAACGTTTCGACCATTTAAAAAACATAACAAAAAAAGTAAAAAATTTAAGAATTATTTTTTTTAAACAGTGATGAAAATATATCAAAATATCTTGAAATACCTTGAAACATTCTAAAATAATTGTGCAAATACATTAAAATATTATAATACATTTAAAAATATTATGGAATACCTCGAAATATCAAAATTTTGATTCTATCATTGTTTTGTTTCAGTCTCCTTGAAAACGAAAACATTTCAACATGTTTCGAAAACGTTTCGATCATTTCGAAACGATATTTTGATCCTTGAACACATCATAGATAATTAGGAAGATCAACAGAATAAGCTCACCTCGTTTGAACAAAATCTTCAACTCTTGAATCTGTTGTCACTTTCACAATGCCAGATGCCTCCCCTAAAGCTCTCTGACCATTTCTAGGGGTCTCTGCATCCTCTTTTAATTGGAACTTGGGGCGCTCTCTATCCAAATAACAATAGAAAAGAGGCTATCACTATGGAAAGTTACCAAATAATGCCACTCCATATATATTTGCTCATATGACACGGAAATCAAGTAGTACCTTTAACATATCTTAGCATTCTCTCCAACAATATTGTCGTAGGCTCACCACTTAACACAATGTATATACCACGTAAAACATTAACCATACCCAAGTCACCTTTATTTTTATAACCTTTTTGCTAAATCATGTTCATTTATTTATGACTAAGATGTTAACTCTACAAAAAGTGATTACGATTCCTGAAGTAATCATTATTGGCTATAAGGCTAGGGTATATGGGAAATATGATTCAAGTAGTTGGGACAAGACCTTGTTGAGTTGGGTTGAACTTTAAAGAATATAAGCTGATACCAATAGAATGTACCTGATTCTCCCCAAAAGCCTTGGACTCTTTTTGGCATTCCTGATAAAATGATGCTTTAGAAGTTCCCTTGCGCTTGGCCTTTGTAAGCAAGAAGACAAAAGAGAGAGCATGAGAAAAGCTATAATGTTCAACATGCGCAAACTAAATTGTGGATAACTAATATCACAACCAAATAACTTCCAACTGCATGGTTTTAATAGGCAAATTAACAATAGGAGCAAATATATTATTTTCTTGCATAACAGGTAAAGGAATAAAAACAAATTTATCTTGCTCATGTTCACTAATAGGCTGCGAGTGCTACAATTTTAGAATTAATCACCCAAATATTGGTTGTCGCGAAGTAATATATTACTCAAAAGTCCCAGGTCGGATCACAGAGAATTATGAAAACTTAGAACACAAAGAAAAATAAAATAAAATTGCTTTGAAAATTTTTTTTGTAGAGATTTTGAAATTAGAAAAGAATAAATTTGGTTTTAAAACAATAAATGAAAATAGTAAAGCATCGGGGATACCCTTTCAAATCCACACAATAATTATTAATGATTCAGTTTTCGAACTCAATTGAAAATCAGCTGAGGAGTGACCCCAATCGAAATATTTAGCAGTGATAATATGAAAATATCAAAAGTTATAATTAATGAATTAACTGAACAAATATAAAAATTTACTAGTAGATCACAAGCATTCATCGTGCCCGGAATCTACGATAAATCAAGTTTTTCAATAGATAAACCTTATTTTATTGTAAATAATAAATCAACTATCTTATGAGAAATTCTAATTAATTAATTCAAGCATAGAATAACCAGTTATTTGACTCGCAAAGAATCTCAGGCATTCGATGTACGTGGCACAACAAATCAAGAAATTATACAGAGCAAAAACTTTACTAGAATACAAAAATTAAATTAAAAGAATAAATCATACATTAAAAAGAAATATTGAATCAATAATAAATACTTTACTTCATTGAAAATATCTCCCCTAACTTTAGTTGGGCTTTTAGCAAACCATAGAACTTAGAAAAAAAAATTAGAAAAGAAAAGATGGGAAAAAAAATAATAATAATCAAAATCCTCGCTCTCAATAGATGAGAACCTTTATTTATAATAAAATAAATCATAGGTATAGGTAGAAGATATAAGGTTGGATTAGTAGAAATTTATTTCCATAAAGAAGTCTTTTAAGGTTAAATCCTGCGCATAAAAATCTTGGTGGCCGCAGGTACAAAATCTGTTCATACTTCTAGCTTGAATTTAGAATATTTAGAGGCTGAATCACGAAATTAATGTGAATTACACTTTTGTAGCCCTTAAAATCTTCTTTTCAACCTCAAACAAATCATGTCAATCCGATATCGGAATCAAAAGTTATGACTAAAATACTGAAGCTGAGTCAAATTTTTATCTTTTAAGATACTTTCCTAATTAAACTTTAAATGAGTTTTCTTCAAACTTGAACTCTTATAAGAATTAAATTATTGATTTATTTTTAAGTTTTTCTATCTCAATCTTGACTCTTCAATCTTTATCAATAATGATTCTTCCTCTTGCAATTGTTTCACTTGCCTTATCCATTATTACTTTAAATTAACCAATTTACCTGCAAAATAAACCAAACAACTAGAAAAAGTATCAAACCAAAAAATCAAGGAATTTAACACATTTAATCACAAATAATATGCAATTAATCAATCATTAAATATAATAAAATAACACTTTTGATAGTTAATCAGCGAGCAACCAACATCAGTAACATCAGGCTCTAGAAATTTTGCTATTAAGGACTCAACAATTTTAGTATCATGTGTAGGACAATAAAATCGACATCATTTCGAATGTTCTGGGTAACCTTTAAAAAAACAACGAATAGTTCTAGGATTAGTCTTTTTTTCAAGAGGGTTATAAATTTTGATCTCAGTAGGACAACCTTAGACTTGAAAATGGTTAAGACTTCGTTTCCTATTGGTTCATAATTTAAAAGGTGTTTTTGGAACAGATTTGCTAGAAACTCTATTAAGAATGTATGAAATCGTTTTAATGATTATCCCCAAAGATAATCAGGTAAGTTACACCTACTCATCATACTCCTCATTATGTCTTTAAGGGTGCGATTGCGCCTTTCAGCCACACCAATCTGCTCGTGATTACCAGGCATGGTATATTGGACAGCAATCCCACAATCTTGCAAGTACTTGACAAACAGTCTCAAATGCTGCCTAGACATGTCATGTTTGCCTTAATACTGACCATCATGGTCAAACCTAACAATTTTGATGACTTTCCCTAATTGTTTATCTACCTCAGTCTTGAAAATTTTAAACTTTTCAAAAGCATAATTTGTTTCATTAATTAAATAAATACATCCATAACCAGATAAATCATCAATAAATGTAATAAAATATTTATTACTACACAATATACGTGAGTAAGGTTCACTGATGTCAGTGTGAATGATTTCTAAAAGATCTAAACTGTGAGTTGCACTTTTCTTCTTAATCTTGGTCAATTTATCCCTAATGCAGTCAACACAAGTATCAAGGTCTCCAAAATCAAGGGAGAAAGAATATCATTCTTTATTAATCTTTCCATTCTTTCTCTAAAAATGTGACACAAATGTTTATGCCACAACTTTAAAGATTTTTTTTTAATGAAAGGTCTCTTAGATACAACATTTACAATATTTGAAAGAACATATTCATTATTGACAACCAAACATATACTCTATAGACCATCTGATAAAACACAATGACCAACAATTTTAGAATTTAAAAACAATAGAATTTTACTATTATTAAAATTTAAACAATATCCAATTTTATCAAGCAAGGAAATTGAAATCAAATTCCGCCTAAATGACGGTACATAAAAAGTATTTTCTAAAACAAGTTGAAAATTAGTGTCTAAATTTAATCTAACAGTTCCTATGAACTCAACATAAACTTCATTATTATCTCTTACTTTAAACTTGAATTCCCCTTCACTTGGCCTCCGTTTGGTTGTGAATCTCTGCAAAGTCATGACAACATGAACAGAAGCCCCACTATCAATCCACTAAGAATTTAATGAGACATTAACTAAATTGAATTCAAAGCAAATAAAGACTAGTGAGTTACTTTCTTCTTTATTCTTTTTTTCTAACATAGACTTCAATTGAGTGCACTCACTTTTCTTATGACCTCGTTTCTTGCAAAAGTAACACTTGACATTTTTTTGAATGGCAGCCTTAGGATCTCCCACATTCTGATCAGTGTCATGTCTTTTGAAATCTCGACCATTATTTAGAGCATTATAATTAGGTTTTTTTATTATTTTCTTGATACTCACATTTGAAACTAGATTTAGGCTGAGAAACAAACAAGTCAGTTTCACTCTTTTCTTTTCTAAGTTTTTCTTTCTCAAAATCACACTTGAAGATAAAGTCATTTATTGTCCAGGACTCATTTTGGGTATTATAGGCAATTTTGATTTGGCTAAACTTAGGAGGCAAAGAATTAAGAGTGTGATGAATAATGAAATCATCAGAAACAATAATTTTGAAAGGTTTGAGCTTGGTTTGAACATGGACCATTTTAAGGATATATTCTTTAACACCACCTATATTGTCATATTTTATACTTGTTAATTCATTTATTAGGCCTCCAACTTCAGTCTTATTGGATACCTTGTATCTTTCTCCTACTGCGATAAAGAATTCCTTGGCATTCTTGGTTTCAGGCAAGCCACTCATAAGGTATTCAGAGATAAACTTTTTCATGGCAATCATACTCAGCCTATGAGATTTCTCCTACTTTGCATAAATTTTTTTTTAATCAGGAAAACTCTCACTAGTAGGTTTAGCAGGTTCATTCTCTTTCAAGGCAAAGTCTATATCAATAATTCCTAGGGCAAACTCAATATTTTGCTTCCATATTTTATAATTAGAACCAGTCAATATTTCAATGTTGACATTATTACTGTTCACAACAAAAGAAGTTGTTCAAGACAACGAGAATATAAACAGTTAGCAAAATTGAGTAATAAATAAAAAAAAATATACTTTGAACATAATAAGTTATATTTTAGTAAGAGAATCCAAATTTATCACTACAAACTCCCATTTGAGCAGAGAATGTAATATGCTATAGGTCATTTCTTTTATGAAACTAAACAATGAGAATGCTCAAATTTTAAAAAATTTATCTTCTTTGGACAGATAACCCTTCTAGACTATTGCATTTTCACCACAATGTTTCATGACATCTCCAAATTACAATACATAACAACCTCATTTGGACAAATAATTATATATTATAATTTAAAGACTATCACATAACAAAAACATAATAAAAATTTACAAATTTCAATAAATGGACCACTTTGGTGGCAACCATCCATTTTAACTCATAGAATTTTTTAAATCGGGATATTATAATAAATTATCTATAATTAAATATCATGTGATCAATCAATATGAGGTACTAACCAATATGTATCTCTTTAAATCACTCATCATCAATTGTTGTATTTAGGTTTCAATTCTATTTTTACTATTAAAATTAAATAATTTAAATTCAAATCTACTAACATTAATAAATAATATTTAGATCATAAAAAAAAATTCATCGTATCAATCACTAGGGACTAAAATTAGAATTGTACATACACTCTCTACAAATTATAACAATTCATTCAAAGTTACGTCAACATAAAAAAATAATTTAGATGGATAAAATTTACATCTATTCATTAACATGGTCACATGTTATTAACACTAGTCACCCACAAAAAGAGGATATATATTAATCATAAATATTTTAACATACAACATATACATACATATACTAATCATTAGCCATCATAATGCCACCTTTTTTTTTTTTTTGGGACCGCCTTCGTGATGCTTTGCATGAAAAAAGGCCATGTTAAAATTTATTTTTTCTTCTTGTGACGTACTGCCGCCGTCCAAACTATTGCTTTGAAAGTAAGAACAATAGCATTGATATAGAACAAAAAAGTATAGAACAGTAATCGAATTAACCCTTTTGGTTTTCAAACCATTGACGACGATGAAAATTTGATGCTACGCCATCACAAAATATTTTGATATCCCAAATTATATAAATAAAAAAAAAATTGGATTCTAAATTTATATATGATAGACTCAAATACCACGTGTAAAAAATTTTAATGATTCATATATAAAATTTAGAACACCTAAATTACAAGATTTAAATTCTAAATTCAAGATTTAGAACATACCTGTATAAGTCATAATATTCGATTTTTAGGTTTCTATCGCGGAAGGGTAAGGTCTTTCTTTCAATGGGACAAGTCAATTTAAGATTACGAAGTGGAGAGGGGACCTAACCTTCTATTTTTAATAAAATCTAATGAGCATTCTTATTACGGGCCATAATTAGATTAAAGCCTATATTTAACCGTCTCAACCACATTAATTAAAAAATATAAATAAGTTCATCAAAATAGATCATTTAATAATATTGAGCTCATCTCATTAGATAATAAATTCAACCTATTATTCACAAACTAAAAATTAACTATCAATTAATAGAAGTCTAATATATAAAAAAAATTCTAACATTGAAAACAGTTGTTATAGAACTAACACAGACAACTATGTTTATCTTTAACTTGTTATTGGTTTCGTGAATCTCATTCCCTGATCAGCTCAGACAAATGTGAATTCAACGAGTGGTAATAACTGTGTTTTGCCCTTGCAGCATCTGCAGTTATTTTATTCTTCTCCGATGTTCAAATGGCTCTCTTATGCGCTCTTGGGGTTAGTTATGTTGTTGACTTAGATTTTTTCGTACTTGTAATTTTTTTACAAAGTACCCTCACCACAGACATCAGTTAAGGTACAGTGTGTACGTATTGTCTTTTGGCTCGAGAAATTTGAAAAGCGGCTAATTAGACCATGTCCTCAACTACCATTTTCACCACCCCACCACTAGTCACCCCCACCCCCACCCAATGTAACTATTCTCTACCCCCTGACAGGCTTGCATTACTGATAGACAAATCCATAACTATCAGACAAATCCACGCATCTCTCATCCGTCATGGCCTAGAAACCCACCTGGTCTTGAACTTCAAGCTCCAGCGATCCTATTCTACCCTTGGCCGCCTTGACTACTCCGTGGCCCTTTTTAACCTCACCCACAACCCCAATGTCTTCTTCTACACCTCCATTATCCAGGGGCACGCCGTCACAATCTCCACGAGCAAGCTTTTGAGTGCTATATCCAAATGTTGGACCCATGATGTCGAACCCAATGCATTCACATTCTCCTCCATCCTCAATGCCTATCCACTTGAATCCCGAAAAATTCTCCATTGCCAAGCCCTCAAACTCGGATTTGATTCTGATACGTATGTGATAACAACTCTTGTTGATGTCTATGCTATAGGTGGTGATGTTGCTGTTAGAGTATGTGCGGAGCGGAGCCCGCGACGGCATCTGCCTTGCGGGATTTATATATAGGGGACGCTGATAAGTTGGGGGTGCGGGGGCAATGCCCCCGCGGTACGGTACAGGGGTATTTTTGTAAATACGTCCATATTAGGGTTATATAAATACTTAAGATGTAACTCTACTTCAATAAGAAAAAGAACAGCCGCTCGCTCTCGTGGATGTAGGCACATTGCCGAACCACGTAAATCTCTGTGTTATTTTCTCCTGCTTTCTTAATTGTTTGATTCCTTACTATTCACCATAATTGCTGCACGATCACAACAATTGGTATCAGAGCAAGACTACGATGTCTGGGATTTCCTCTACAAAATTCGACATCATGAAGTTCGACGGAACTGGGAATTTCGGATTATGGCAGAGGAGGGTGAAGGACCTGTTAGTGCAGCAGGGCATGGTGAAGGCATTATACGGAAAACAACCGGCAGGAATGGACGACATGGATTGGAAAGAATTGGAAGCGAAGGCTGTGGCGACTATTAGGCTTTGTCTGGCTGATGAAGTGATGTATCACGTCATGGATGAGGAATCACCGGCGGAAGTTTGGTTGAAACTGGAAAGTCGGTATATGTCCAAGTCGTTGACGAACAAGCTCTATCTTAAGCAGAAATTATATGGTCTTAAGATGTCAGAGGGCTCGGATTTGAC